ATGTATGAGCTCACTATTCATATGCGAACTCATACTTGAGAGAAACCTCATGTACGTGGTGAATGTGGAAAAGCCTTTATCAAGAAGACTGCTCTCACTGTTCATCAGCGAACTCATACTGGAGAGAAATCCTGTGTATGTGGTGAGTGTGGTAAAGCTTTCACCAACAACAATGCCTTAGATTTCATCAGAGATTTCACACCGGAGATAAAACCCATGTAAGTGGTGAATGTGGAAAGTCATTTATCTGGAAGTGTGAGCTCACTGTTCATATGCGAACACATAGTGGAGGGAAACATTATGTATATGGTGAATGTGGAAAAGCCTTTATCAAGAAGAATCTCACTGATCATCAGCGAACTCATACTGGAGAGAGAACTTATGTATGCGCTGAATGTGAAAAAGCTTTTATCCAGAACAAGGACCTCGCTGATGGTCAGAGATTTCATACAGGAGAGAAGCCCCATGTATGTGGTGAATGTGGAAAAGCCTTTACCAAGAAGAGTGCTCTGATGGATCATCAGCGAACTCATCCTAGAGAGAAACCCCATGTACATGGTGAATGTGTAAAATGCTTTATTGAGAAGACTGCTCTCACAGGTAATCAGCGAGCTCATGCAGGGGAGAAACCTCATGTATGTGATGAATGTGGAAAAGCCTTTATCAAGAAGAATGCTATCACTGTTCATCAGCGAAATCATACTGGAGAGAAACCCCATGTATGTGGTGAGTGTGGAAAAGCCTTTATCAAGAAGACTGCTCTCACAGGTCATCAGAGAGCTCATACAAGGGAGAAACCTCATGTATGTGGTGAATGTGGGAAAACTTTTATCAGGAAGAAGGACCTCGCTGATCATCAGCGAACTCATACTGGGAAAAAAACCATGTACATGGTGTATGTGGAAAAGCCTTTATGAAGAAGAATGCTCTCAAGGGTCATCAGCGAACTCAAACTGGACAGAAACCTCCTGTATGTGGTGAATGTGGAAAAGCCTTTAGCAAGAAGAACTTCTGTGATCATCAGCGAACTCATACTGGAGAGAAATCCTGTGTATGTGGTGAGTGTGGTAAAGCTTTCACCCCGAACAATGCCTTAGAGTTCATCAGAGATTTCACACCAGAGATAAAACCCATGTAAGTGGTGAATGTGGAAAATCCTTTATCTGGA